GGGAGGATTGGCAAACTTCAGTTCTTAGCCCAGCAGGGCAAACTGCTGGCACACCTGGATATTTTATATACCTGGAGCGTCTGCAGGCACAGAGCCACTTAGCTCTCAGTGGCTGCTGTTTGCCATTCTGGGTCCATGGGAGCTGCGGAAAGTGGTGGCCAGCACATCCCTTGGCCCGTGTTGCTTCCTGTAGCTCCCATTGGGAGCTGAGAGGCTCCATGCCTGCATGCATTCCAGGTAAACAATACATCTCAAAGTGCCAGCAGCTTACACTGACAAGCTGGGATCAGAAGTTTACAAATTGCCAATACAGAATCATTTTATGAACGGATCATTGCAATTTAATACAATTTTTGTTAACTTGCGGGGGGTAGGCTTATGAACAAATGGGCTCATGATTGAGTATGTATGTATACAAAGTACTCTCATGGGCACGCAGTAAACAAACAGGAAAACAATTTTCTCTTTTCTCAAATCTTAAGGCCTTGCTCTTGCAAAGATTTACTGTAATCATTGAGAATACATTGGTGAGTAAAGCAAAGTACATATAGAAGTGTTTTCAGGATTGTGCCTTAGGGATTACTGGAGTGGTAACAATATCAGGAAAAAAAGCTGGACAGTGGTGTGATATTTTAATGGTTTAGAATGGCCTTTGAGAAATGCAGGGGGGGGGGGATTTTCAAAGTCATTCAGGTGCAATTTTGCCCTCAGCTTCCATGAAAAGTCAGTAAATGAGAGTTGGACAGCTAACTCGAACTTGTGCCCTTGAAGAGTTTCCCCTTGTGCATCAAGCTAGTTTGGCAAATTCGATGAAAAAAGAGGAATCTGCTTAAAGGATGGGCCTATTAATTGGTGAAGTGGAGAAATAAATTAAACCATGGGTTTTGCTTCTCAGCCTAGTCCATCACAACACTACGATGGAATCTGGGAAGATTAGCTAGAATCTCCCTCCGGGTTTATCAGATTAGAGAGATGGAAGTGTTAGAGGTTGGCATTTAGGCTTATTGGCATAGCAATGTGTGATGTTTGCTAGATTGGACCTGACTCAAGGCTGTGCTATTATGATCAGTTCTTCCTCCCAGCAAAGAATAATATGTCCCATAAAAGCCGATTAAAACTATCTAATGAGTCTGTTGCTTACCACAGACTAGCAAGATGTTAAATGATTTTTTTTTAAATCAACACCAATGTAGATGCAAATTGCACTGAATTTTAGCTGGTGTTGGTAACCACTTATATTTTAACACTTCCTGACACTTCCCATTTTCTTATCCTGTTTTCAGTTGTTTGTATCTTTGACAAATTATAACTGGGCTGGAATGTTCCATGCTGAGTGTTAGTCTGAGATGGAATTATTTAGAAAAGTTTCAGCAAAAATGGATCAGTGATTTCCAAGAATGAGTTTAGTGAAAGATTTAAAAACGAGTGGTCCTGTAGCACCTTAAACACTAACAAAAAATGTATAGTAGTATGCGCTTTCCTGGGCACAACCCACCTCTTTAGATGAGTGGAGCAAGAAGTGGGTTGTGCCCACAAAAGCTCATGATACTATATATTTGTTATTCTCTAAGGCGGGGGTGGGCAAATGGGCCTCAGCAGGCCAGATGCAGCCTGCCAAATGGGTTGACCCAGCCTGCGGCTGCCCTGCTACTCCCCCGCCTGCAGGCAATTGAGATCTGGGGATGGGGGAGTGCACAAAGTTCCCCCCCTCCCCACCAGGGGTGCGTGGCACCAGAGGGAATCGTGTGCCCCTGGTGGGAGGAGCAGGCAACTTTGCACGCTTCTCCTGCCCTCAGGCCAATCAGGGCATGGGGGCAGAAGAGCGCGGAAAGTCTCTACCTGCCCTGGCAAGAAGGAACCAGGTGCCCCTGGCAGGGTGGGTTGGGGAGTGAGAGACTTTGCGTGCTCCCCAACCCCAGGCCCTACGGAGGCAGCACGGGATGTTTCCTCACACTGCCTGGGTTCTAGGCGCTGGGCACCCCTGACAGGACGAGGAGCAGAAAGACTTCACGCACTCCCCCACCCTCAGGCCAATCAGGGTTTGTGGGTAGGAGTGCAATTGAAGCCTCTTGGCCCCGCCCATTCCCTCTGAGACCCCACCTCTTTCAGGGCAGCTCGCAACCAGTTTGGAAATCCCCTGACCAGAGCTTCCCCAGCTTTGCCTGCCTCTTCCCAGCCCTGCTCTAAGTCTGGACTCCTCTAGCTTCCCTGGCAGCTAGGTCCCTCCTCCTCCATAGCTGGAGTAAGTCTGTGTCTCCACCCCTCCAGCAGCCTTTATTTATATACCCCTAGCTGGGCCCTAATTGGTGATCTCTACCTCAGCTGCTGGCTCTACCACTCCAGCCCTTCCACCAGGCTGGGTATTAACCCTTAAAGGGCCACTGTGGTGCAGATGCCCGTCAGAGGGAATCTTACTGCCTCACCTCATAGATGTGTGGAGAAAATTAATGTTAGTGAAGCACTCCCAGTGATGAGCCCATGAGGGAATTAATAATCCTGTATTCAGAGTAGGGCTGGAATAGCATGCAGTAAATAAGTCCTAGACTCAGACATTGAACACTGAGGCTACGTCTACACTGCAAGCTTCTTGTGCAAGAACTGCTTTGCGCAAGAGTTCTTGTGCAAAAGGTCTTGCACAAGAGCGTGTCCACATTGCCATGTGCTTTTGCGCAAGAGATGTGCTTTTGTGCAAGAGCGTCTATGGCAGTGTGGATGCTCTCTTGTGCAAGAAAGCGCTGATGGCCATTTTAGCCACAGGGGTTTCTTGCGCAAGAAACCCCTGTGGCTAAAATGGCCATCAGCGCTTTCTTGCACAAGAGAGCATCCACACTGCCATAGACGCTCTTGCACAAAAGCACATCTCTTGCGCAAAAGCACATGGCAATGTGGACACGCTCTTGTGCAAGACCTTTTGCACAAGGTAGTGTAAACGTAGCCTAAGGGTTAAACGAGATACTGAATAGCTGCTCATTCGGTGAGTGCCATCCACCATGTGTACTTAATGAGGCAGAGCTCCTGCGGAATAAATAGCTTTAATAAGCAGCAGGTTTAAAACACACAAAAGGAAGTATTTCTTCCCACTAGCACACAGTCAGGCTGTGTCTAGACTGGCCAGTTTTTCCAGAAAATCAGCCGCGTTTCCAGAAAAACTTGCCAGCTGTCTACACTGGCTGCTTGAATTTCCGCAAAAGCACTGACTTCCTACTGAAAGATATCAGTGCTTCTTGCGAAAATACTATGCTGCTCCCGTTCGGGCAAAAGTCCCTTTTGCACAAAACTTTTGCACAAAAGGGCCAGTGTAGACAGCTCAGATTTGTTTTCCGCAAAAAAGCCCTGATCGCGAAAATAGCGATCGGGGCTTTTTTGCGGAAAAGCGCATCTAGATTGGCCACAGATGCTTTTCCGCAAAAAAGTGCTTTTGCGGAAAAGCGTCCGTGCCAATCTAGACGCTCTGTTCTGAAAATGCTTTTAACGGAAAACTTTTCCGTAAAAAGCTTTTCCGGAAAATCATGCCAGTCTAGACGTAGCCTCAGCCTGTGGAACTCTGCCAGAAGATATCATGAAGGGCAAGACTATAAGGCTACGTCTACACTGGCCCCTTTTCCGGAAGGGGCATGTAAATTTCACCAGTCGTAGTAGGGAAATGCGCGGGGGATTTAAATATCCCCCGCGGCATTTAAATAAAAATGTCCGCCGCTTTTTTCCGGCTTTTAAAAAAGCCGGAAAAGAGCGTCTACACTGGCCCCGATCCTCCGGAAAAAGTGCCCTTTTCCGGAGGCTCTTCAAAGTAGGAATAAGAGCCTCCGGAAAAGGGCGCTTTTTCCGGAGGATCGGGGCCAGTGTAGACGCTCTTTTCCGGCTTTTTTAAAAGCCGGAAAAAAGCGGCGGACATTTTTATTTAAATGCCGCGGGGGATATTTAAATCCCCCGCGCATTTCCCTACTACGACTGGTGAAATTTACATGCCCCTTCCGGAAAAGGGGCCAGTGTAGACGTAGCCTAACAGAGATGAAAAAAGAGCTCGATGAGTTCATGGAGGATAGGTCCATCATTGGCTTTCAGGCCAGAGTGGTGTTGGAAACTGGGAATGGACAACAGGGGTTGGATCATTTGATGATTACCTGTTCTGCTCGTTCCTTCTGGGGCACCAGGCATTGGCCACTGTCAGAATACAGGATACTTTGGCTGTTCTAATATTAAATATAAATACATAATTATAATTCCAGAAATGATAGGCTGGTATCCATTGGAGGCCTTTTGGCAAGTTTACATTACAAACCACAAACACTTGGGTAACTGCCACCAGGTGGTTTTGAACCTGGGACTTCAGGAGCTTAATACAGGCGCCTCTACATCTTGAGCTATAAGGCCAACTGATTGTCAGCTCCTGCTGTAGTGGTCTATTGTTCTTATCTGTTGCTGTGGTCTAGGGAATGGGCATGGGACAGTGAACCACACAAGGTGCGTGGATTACATTTGCACATTTTTTTTTCTGAGCTAATGCAATACTCAAAGCAAGGAGCTGTGCTGTTGCTAGATTCAAGTATAGCGGGATGTAAGAACTGGGCAAGACTTTTTCAACAAAACGTGGCTTTCCAGTACATACCAAAGTTTACATGGAGTTTTCAAAAATTCCCACAGCAAGGGATTGTTAGTTTTCAAGCCATGCTAGTGATTGGGCAGTGTACAAACATTCTCCACCCAAGTGGCAATTCTTCTCATTCCACAGGCCATGGAGCTGGAGTGGGAGTCATCCAGCCCCAGGGCCTAATCTCTTTTTGGCTGGGCCAAACAGAAGAGATGCATCACCTCACATGCCAGGTCACAATGCCATGGACGGCTACCTGAGCCACTGCAACCTGATACACTGAGTTACAGTGCCACTCCTGTTTGGGCCAGACCATGATAAAGGAGCAGCTGGGCTAAACCCGAGCAGCACTGTGACCCCACATGCTAGGTCACAACATCCCTTGCTCAGGTATTTGAGGGGTGTGGGAGTAGGAGTTATGGGCTGGGGGCGCAGCAGCCTGAGGATGGGTTCAGGGGAGCCCCTCCTGCAATCCTCCTGCTATTTTAGTTCTGTTGCTTTGCCTAACAGTGGCTGTACACAGCGGTGTCAGATTGCATTCAGTGACTTGATACTGAACGCAAATAGCAACTTCAATGAGACGGTTGGATCCATCTCTTGCAGGCCTGGTAGCCAAGCTAAGCAAGAGAATTAACAGAGGGCTAGACCGTGGAACTATGCTAACGTATACAAGCTGAGGACCTAGTCAGGTGCCTTCCTTGCCACACAGGTAGAGTGACTACCAGAATTTCAGAGAAGTAAAAGAACAAGTGTGTAAACAATTTCAGGCCAACCCACGTATTTAAAGAAGTGGGAGTCCACACTGGCACATGCCTGGGAGTGAGGCAGGAGGCTCTCCTCATGAGGGACAGTCACTCTAGCCACATAATGGTCTTTGTCTTCCTGGAACTCAGCCCTCCAGCTTATCACTTATCACCCCACTCTTCCACCTCACTCACCACAGGAGGACAAACCCCCCACAAAAAGAAGTCCATCAAATAATTTCAAGACTGTCTCAGGCCTCTGCCCCCTGAACCGTAGACCCTATGGTCCTTGCCTCAGAGCAGCTCAACTCTACCCTGCCATACTCCAGGTTTCCCCAAGCTTTGTTCCTCAGTTGAATGCTTCCCTGGGCACCAGGTGAGGCCTTTTTCGGTCAGGTCTCCCTGCCAGAGTTTGCTCCAAACCAATGACCTCTCTGCTTTGTTCCTGGCTCTGTGTAAAAATTCTCTGCGCAGGAGAGGAGTCCAGGGTCTCCTCTTTACACCTACTATCCTTTCTGTTGCTAAGAGAGGCATTTCAGCATTCACTCCCTGCAGCCCTCTTCTACTCTGCATGGTAACTACCTGCATCTTCCCCCAGCTGGGCATTGTTTTTAATTGGGCTTGGTCCACACTCTCCAGCTGCAACCAGGGGCCTAATTGAGTTCTTCTGCTCCAATTAACTCTACCAGAGCCTGTGCGGAGTTCACAAAGGGACATCACCCATCCCTGTAGGGTACAAAATCATGCTTTGCTGGCAAACTCCAGTTCTGCTCTGGCACCAATGCTATCCCTTAGTGCCCATTATTTATTTTTTCTAATGAGCATTTTCTCACTTTCTCCCATACTGCCTCTCATTCATGGGAGGCATTTACTGTGAAGATCTACATCATCACTACACATCCTCACTCCTTAAAATTCACTCTGGCTATGTCTACACTATGGAGTTTTTCCGGGATACCAGAGGGATCCCGGAAAAACTCCGCCATGTCCTGGGAATGCATCTGCTCTTCTGCTTTTTTTTTTTTGGCAGAAGAGCAGACGCACTCTTTCGGAAGCCCTGACTTCCTCCTTCCACGAGGAAGAAGGGCTCTTCTGAAAGAGTAGGTTTTTCCAAAATTTGGACCAGTGTAGACGGGCCAAATTTCAGAAAAGCCTCTTCTGAAAATTTGCATACCTTTTGCTGATAAATCAGTGTAGTCTAGACATAGCCTCGGGCTGTGTCTACACTGGTGTGATCTGGTGCAAAAGCGGCCGCTCTTGCGCAAAAACGTGCTGCCTGTCTACACTGGCCGCGCGTTCTTGCGCAAGTAAACTGACATTCTAATGTGTAAAATCAGGACTTACTGTGCGAGAACTCTGACGCTCCCACTCAGGAAGAAGCCCTCTTGCACAAGAGCTCTTCCAGAAGAGACCAGTGTAGACAGGCAACATGAATTTCTTGTGCAAGAAAGCCCTATGGCTAAAATGCCCATCAGAGTTTTCTTGCTCAAGAGAGCATCTACACTGGCATGGATGCTCTTGTGCAAAACCACATCTCTTGTGCAAAAGCACATGCCAGTGTAGACGCTCTCTTCTGGAAGAGATTTTGCAGAAGAACTCTTCCACAAAAGAGTTTTTGCGTGAGAATGCACCACTGTAGACGTAGCCTCTGTGTCTCACAAAACACTCAACAAGGGCTAGGCAGTTTGCACAATGTCTTTGTCCGCTGGATATTACACCAGTCAAAATTAGGGTTACCAGATGGTTTCAAAAAAAATACCGGACACACTTGATCTCAGATTGGTGAGGGGCAGGACAACGGACCAGAATGGAGGGTAGTGAGGCTGGCCGGGAGGGAGTCTGGGGGAGTGGGGCTGGCTGGGGAAAATGGGGGGGAACCACCCGGTAGGGAGTGGGACTGGCTGGGAGGGGATCAAGGGGAGTGGGTCTGGCCGGGGGAGATCAGGGAGGGGAGAGGAAAACCGGGCAGCGGGAAGCAGGGCTGGCCAGGAGGGGGTTGGGGGATGTGGGGCTGGCTGGGAGGGAACAGGCCAGCGAGGAGTGTGGCTGGCCCGGGCGCACGCAGATCCTGGGGTGCTGCCTATCCCGTGCACGGTCCTGGTGAAAATAATCAGCACAGCAGCATTGCGCAAGAGGGTTTTTCTTGCGCAAGAAGGGGCAGTGTAGACACTCCTTCTGGTGCAAGAGCCTCTTCCTCAAAATGGCGGCTCATTAGAGATGCAAATGAGGCTCAGCGATATTCCACACTTAGCCTCATTTGCATATTTCTGGCGCAACAACCCGCCAGTGTAGACATAGCCTAGGTGTGTGGGTTACACATGCATAGATCCTAGCGCAATGGGCCTTAATCCCTGAGTGAGGCCTTTTGGTATTTGTATCCTCCTGTGTGACTGGTGGTGTAATAGTCCCAAGGGAATCCCCACTCTCTCCAGGTGAAGTGTGTGTTGGGGAAATCGCTAGTGCCTCCCCCAGGAGCCTCACAGCATGGGGTGCTGAATCTCCCCTTGCCTGTGTGAAGTGGCAAGGGAGGGGAAGTGTGCAAGTCCCAGTAGGTGTGGGGGTGGGGAGAGGAAATCCCCAATCTCTGTAGCTGTGAGGGGAGGAGGAGGGGAGAGGAACCTGCAGAGCCCCATGTCAGGGAGGTGGGGGTAGAATAGTTACGGCCGCTATAACCTAGTCCAATATCAGAGTCCCCTCTGCTTGGGTAAATACAGCCTGAGAGGCCTAGTCCAATATCAGAGTCCCCTCTACTAGGGTAAATACGGCCGTCAGGGCCTAGCCCAAATACTAGAGTTCTTGTCTCCAAAATACCTCCCTCAGGAGACCTATCACAGGAATCAACGGGTGTGCAATTCAACCCTTGTGCAGATGACCTAACAGAGGATCCACACACCACTTCTACAAAACAGGGCTCCATTGGTATTCAGTGGGGCAGAGTTCAGTTGCTGACCCTCTGCACAGGAGGAGCTAGATGGGTCCATCAGTGCTATTAGCCAGGATGGGTAGGAATAGTGTCCCTACCCTCTGTTTGTCTGGAAATGGGTAACAGGAGAAGGATCACATGAGGATTACCTGTTGTGTTCCCTCTCTCTGGAGCATCTTGTATTGGCCATTGTCAGCAGACAGGATATTTGCTAGATGGACCTTTGGGCTGACCCACTACGGCTGTTCTTATGTTATGTTCCATGTTAGCTCCGAACTGCATTAAATCCAGCTTTTAATTTCCACTTTAAACAAAACCTCTTCATACCAAATTAAACACTTGATAATCAGAAATGGTTTGTAAAGGAATTATTTTCAAAGTGCTAAGTGTGCTTACCGTATTTTCTGGCGTATAAGGCAACTGGGCGTATAAGACGACCCCCTAATTTTCCAGTTAAAACATAGGTTTTGGCCTATACTCGCCGTATAAGACTACCCCCCCCTTCTGAGGCAACACCATTTAAAAACACCAGCTCGCTGGATGTGCCCTAATACAGTACTGTAGCTTTGGCTACATACAGAACGTCCCTGTGCTGATACTGTCTGTACCGCGCTGAGCCAATCCCGGCAAGCGGTGTATTCTATTAATGCATACAAAGCCTGCTCGGATTGGCAAAGGTTGTAATAGCCCACCTCTCTGACTCAGCCAATCCGAGCAGGCTTTGTATGCATTAATAGATGACACCGCTTGCCGTGATTGGCTCAGCGCGGTACATACAGTATCAGCACAGGGACGTTCTGTATGTAGCCGAAGCTACAGTATGTTTATACCCGGCGTATAAGACGACCCCCGATTTTTGGGGGATGTTTTTTAGTATAAAAAGTAGTCTTATACGCCAGAAAATACGGTACTGTCTGTGTGTCTGTACCTAGATGTGTATATAATATGAACATATGCACATATAAAATCAAGAATAATGAGGTTGCTCAGTCACCTCTGAAGTCAAAAGGAAAAACTTTGTCACATGTTATTTGGATCAATCCCATAAATGACTTCTTCTGTGTTTACATGGTTATTTATTTTGTCCAGAAAGCGTTCCTTTTGAAGAAGACTAACTTCAGTTGGTCAAGGATGTCTTTGACGGACAAAAGACTTGAAAACTTGCAGATCTACAAAGTTCTCCAATGTGTTCGCCAGAAGGACAAGCGGCAGATAGAGAAACTGACCAAGCTTGGATTCCCAGAACTCATTAATTTCACCGAGCCGGTCAACGGAGACAGCGCCCTGCATTTGGCATGCATCGCAAATGACATTAATATGTGCAGCTTCCTGCTGGAGCAAGGAGCTCACCCTGACGTCCAAGACCGAATGGGGTGCACTCCTGCCATGAAAGCAGCTGACCTGGGCCATGAGTTAGCCTTGGATAAACTAGTAAAGGCCGAGGCAGACATGACCATAGTTGATAATGAAGGAAAAGGTAAAAGGAGTCCTGCTTAATCATATTTATAGAAAAAGTATCTTTGGAGCCAGACTCTACAAATTGCATCCGGCTGTCTCGCCACGTCTCACGTGCTAGCCATGTGTGTAATGTGCCCCTCCCTCTCTAATGGCTGGTCAGCATAGTGGGGAAGAGTCTTTTGCTCTAGGACTGGGTTTTTTTGCTCATGTAGCAAAGGCCTATGGCTTGCTACTCTAAACATCCCAGGGTTTAGTCCAAGATGCGGGTTTTCTACACATACCACCCAACAAAGCCTTTTTTTCGTAGGAGTTTTTGTGATGTTGAAAGTGAAGACATTTTGGCTGGATCAGGCATTTCGTTTGTGGCTTTTTCCGATACAGGTTGCATCTCTATAAACGGGAACACTCTGATCTGGCAATAGACCATGGATTTTCCAGGATCAGAGAGTCCTGGTGTGCTGCGGGGGGAGCCAGGAGCCCGGCTCTATGCAGGGGCGGGGAAGGCAGGGCCTGGCATGCAGCCCAACTGGGCTGCCCGGGGCAGTCTGGGAGTCCGGCATGTGGCTCAGCTGGGCTGTGGAGAGGGGAGGCAGGGGAAGGACTGCGGGGGGAGGATCAGAGGAAGGGATCAGAAAGCCCAGCGTGTGACCCATCTGGGCTGCCGGGGGAGTTGGGAAGCCCAGTGGAATGGCAGGGCAGGGGGTGGAGCTGGCACCAGGGGGTCCAGAAATGACCTACCCAGGCCTGGCAAAATCCCTCGTCTGGGAGCAATTAAGTCCTGACAGTGCCAGGGCTCCTCCACTAACTGTGAGACTCCTCCACCATGCCCCAGAGCAGCATTCGCTGGACCTCTTCCCATACTGTGTCCCATATCTTCTGGGGGAGGGGTTGCACCGAGTCTTGGGCCTTCTTACCGGGCTCTGTTGCTATATGGTGATAAATCAGAGTCCTCTGTCCTGGTTGATTGGTCAGGACTTATGAAAATGTGTGTAACAGGCGCTGTAGTTCGGTATGTTGGACTGGTGTCAGCTCCCGACCCAGCTGTAGGGTTAGTGTCCCTACCTCCCCAGGGTCCCAGCTCAGACTCGGGGGTTACCGGGTTAATCATTAACCCCTCCTGCTCCCTCCAAGCCTTCTAGAGGTTGACGTGATAAATTCTGGTATTTTTTCATTTCCCCGGCATCCTTATCTCATAGTCAACCTCTCCCACCAGCAGACCACCTCAAAGGGCCCCTGCCATTTGGCCAGCAGCTTGGAATCCTGTGCGGGTAGCAAAAGTAGGACCCTGTCTCCTGGTTCAAAAGTTCTTAAGCGTATCCCTCTGTTGTAGTACCTAGCCTGCTTTGCTTGTGCCATCAATAAGTTTTCCCTTGCAAACTCCCCCCGGTTATGCAACTTTTCCTGCAATTTAAGTATATACTGCACTGAACCTTGTACCCGGATCGCCTGTTCCTCCCAGGCTTCCTTAACAATATCTAATATACCCCGGGGCTACCACCCGTATAAAAGCTCAAATGACAAGAACCCGGTAGATATCTGAGGTACCTCATGGACTGCGAAGAGTAAGGCGGGCAAAGTCCTGTGCCACTCCTTAGGATCTTCCTCCACGAACTTCTTTAACATACTTTTTAATGTCCTATTAAACCTTTCTACCAACCCGTCGGTCTGCGGGTGATAAACAGAGGTCCTTAATGCTTTAATCCGCAACAGCCGGCAAAGCTCCTCCATCAATTTTGAAGTCACATTAGTCTCTTGATCTGTTAAGATCTCACAGGGGATCCCCACCCATGAAAAGATCTTCACTAGTTCCATGGCAATAACAGGGGCGGTAGTATTCTGCAAGGGTATGGACTTGGGGTACCTTGTCATGTAGTCTATCAAGACCATGATGTACTGATACCCTGTTCGTGTCTTCTCGAGAGGGCTCACCAGGTCTAAGGTGACCCTCTCAAAGGGAACCTCAGTCACGGGTAACAGGACTAAAGGGGCTCTGGGTACTCCTGTTGGGCTAGCCTTCTGACACTCAGGGCATGAGTTATAGAAGTCTTTCACCGTCCGGTATATCCCCGGCCAATAAAACCTTTGTAGAAACTGCCACCCTATGTGACCGGCCCATGGGTTCGCATGTGCTAGTTCTAGGAGTTGCCTGTGATATCTCCCTGGGACCAATAGCTGTTGGACCGTCCCGCTGCCCTCCACCCCTTCTGTGACCCTATACAAACAATTGCGGTGTACTTCAAAATGGGGACTCATCATCATCCAGACGGCCGAGTCTCCCTGTCTGTCAATTTCCTTGGCGTTCTCCCAGGCATGACGTAGTAACGGGTCCTCCCTTTGCTCCTGGATGAAATCTCCATCCCAAAATTCAGGTCGGGCTGCCAGATCTGGGTCAATCAGCTGGTTGGGGTTTGCAGCCTGATCATGGGTTGTGGGGCTGCGGTTCAGGATACCTAGCTCCATTTCTTCCTTCCTTACTTCTTCCTCTAGCAAGGCCTCAGATCCCTTCCTTCGGACCTGACGCCGCCACTCTTCGACCACCCGGTTAAACCCCGTCCAATGGCGATGGTCACATAACACCATCCCTCCACTTGCCCATCTATAATTCGCACCCACGTTATAGGATACGGTTTCATGTCCCCATGCACACATGGCACGAAGACTGGCAGTCCTCTAGGTCCACCTTCCTCTACCAAATCAGTCCTTACTATGGTCTGTCCACACCCGGAGTCTACTAGTGCCATTATAGACACGCCCTCTATTTTAATTGCTCTCAGAATTCTCCACCCCTCTTGCCCCCAGAGGTTTTTTCTCCTATCAAAACTTGACCATATGTACAATCCCTGCCTGCATTGGAAACACACGCCCTTGGAAGGCCCGCCTTTCATCTGGGCTCGGTCCCTTTTGGCTGCCCGAAGGGCCTTTGCGGGTGCCGGTTCTTGCACAGGAGGTGACCACACTGGGGCTAAGTCGTCGTCCCTCACTTCTTCCCTGCGCTCACGTTCCCCTCCTCTCCCACACTATTTTCTTTCTGTCGGGTCGCTATGTCAGTTCCTGGCTTCAGTGGGAGAACATCCTGAGCCGGTTTCCCTATTACCTCAGCCAACTCCGCCATCATGTAGTCCTCCATCAGCGTGATTGCCTCGTTCACAGTAGAGGGGTGGTGTTGTCGTATCCACCGCTGTCCCCCACCGGGTAGCATGTGCAAGAATTGCTCCAAAATCACTGGATCTGCCAGTTGGGCCCCCGACCTCTGGTTCGGCTCCAGCCAACTCCACCCTGACTCTCTCAATTTTTGCACGATGACTCGAGGCCTCGCCCCCTGGGGGTACCATTCCTGTCTGAACCTCTGGCGGTCAGTCTCTGGGGTTCAAACTCCGGTAGGCTAGTTGGGCTGGGCCGGTTAGGTATGGGGCTAGCAAGGTGGCCCAGTGTTCTTCTGGCCAGTGTGCCACAGTGGCCACCCGCTCAAACGTTATAAAAAATGCCTCAGGGTCATCTGTTGGGCCAATTTTAGCCAGTTGTATTGGCAACTGCTGTACCGAGCCCTGGTCAGTCTCATTGCTCACCAGAGGCGCATCCCAGCCTCGCGCCGGCATCCCGTACTGTTGTACCCACCGCTCGTGTTGCGCTCAGTACTGCTCTGCCAGTTCTCACATGAGCTGCCTTTGCTGATGACAGCTACTGTATCAGCAAAGTCTGTTGTTGTTGCTGCTGCCTTTAGTTTTCTGTCAGCCATTCGAACATCTTGGCAGACTCCATCTCTCCTTCCAAAAGAAAACAAACTAGCAACGGGAGAGAAGAGAAAAAAAAACCCAGAAAGACAGAGAATCCTACTGCACTGAAGCTTATTCTCCCCACTATTCCAGTCCTCCCTTCAGTCCAGGGATACCGGGACTCGTACCCACATTCTCCACCAGTTGTGAAGCTCCCTGCTCCCTTCCCTCTCAGTCACACTTGGGCCTCGTGGCTGCCTAGCCATCCTTTTATAGAGAGTTTTTCAAGGCTCCTGTGCCTTGCTGGTAGTCTATCAAAGTCACTGTTAGTGGCAGTCCTGTGAGATTCACCACCGCCTGTGGTGGATGGGGTAAGGAGTCCTGGACCCATCCTCTCTCACGGGTCCCAGCCCAGGGCCCTACGGACAGGGTCAGTTAGGGTCCTGTCAGGCTGGTGGGGCCTCCTACCGTAACACAGCAGCCTGCAGGCTACCAGAAGGAAAGCCCTGCCCTTGGCTACTTCCTACCCCCAAGTGCAGCTGGGGGGAGACCGTTCTCCTTCACAACTGCCTCTTCGTTCAGATGGCCAGCGTACCGCTGGCGACCGTCTTCCTCCCTCTCGTTCTCTCTCTCATTCCCTCTCTCTCTCCCCTGCTCCTGGTGCTCCTTCCCCTTGCTCCTCCAGCCTCCTCTCCTCTCATGGCCGTACCCTCTTTATATTTCCCGCCTGGCCTCCCATGCCGGCCCCTCCCGGTGACGTATGCTCCGTGTGCCCTTCGAGGCCCCCACCACCCTTCCCTTGCGTCCAGCCCAACGCGCCCTTAGCATGGCTCGGGCATGTGTCTCCCAGCCGTGACGCTGATCAGCTGTGCCATGGTGCCAGAACATGTGGCTCAAGTGGCACCATGAAGCCCGGGGATTGGAGAGGGCTGAGTGCGGGGCGAGTCCGCACCGCCACGGCGGGGTGAGTATACCCCGTCACAGCCGGACCAGGGAGGTCCAACCTGTATTAAGTTGTAGATGTGTCTAACTATTAAAGGTCAGGTTCTAATACACTCACTCACATTGAATATTGCTTTATTCCACACACTGGTCCCATTGAAATCCCAAATATTGTTTCATGTATTACTCTCTAAGCTCTTGACCCTATAATTGGATTCAAATGGACAGGCCCTTATACCTGAGATATTAAAGCATTTCTGTATTGGTCTAAGGGGGCTGTCTTTGAATTAGGGGCTTTTGTGCTTTTTATTTCAGCCCCCTGTTTTGTTGCTTAACAGCTGTTCTGTTTTTTTGTTGCAGGCATTTTGTTTTACTGTATTTTACCCACGAAACGGCACTGCCGCTGCTTTCAGATTGCGTTAGAATACGGCGCGGATGTTAACAACTGTACTACTGATGGGAAGCCAGTATTCCTGCAAGCTTGTGAACAAGCCCATGAGATTAAAGAAACGTGTATGAAATTTTTGGAAAGAGGAGCAAACCCCAATGCAATAAACCCAGTAGGAATGTGTCTATAATTCAATATGTGTACATACTGTTGTAATGCTGTTGTAGAACCACGACAATAAGTGACCATAAATCTTTAAATGTGAAATAATCCGGGCAATGCATAGGTTATTGCTAGCAATGGTGCCTCTCCTTCATCGTTCTTGTTTTATTTTGCTGCGGTCCCACACCCTGGATCACTTCTCTCCTGTTTTGGATTTTGGTAGGTTGTGATCCAATTATTTATATGCATAAAAACAGCCAGGCCAGCTCCCTTAATAGTGTGAATTGCTACATCCCTGTTGACGTCAGTGAAGCTGTGCCCTTTGGCCAAGAGATCTGGTCTATTGTTTTAAATTCTATTCAATAAAATTAGAAGTATAATGTGGCCGACCCGGCAAAAAACCAAAGACAATGAGATATTCCAAGAAACTGTGCCCTTTACCCTCCTTTCCATTTGCACCTCTGTGCAACGGGCAGCTACAATCCAAGTCATTTATGTGTTTAAAAAAGCCAGACCGTTGCTCAAGGCACATTCAATGGTCCATACATCTCAGGTAACCACAAATCCAGGAGCATATTCTTCTCCTTCTAGTTAAAATTGCACAGTCCGAACATGCCTCGTGTGCCCACAAACATTGTCCCCCACCACACTTTTGTCTCTCAGGATGAGCATGAGAATAGATGGGCTTAGCTCTGTGCATTAAAGGTCAAGAGACAGAGGCTATTTCGGGCCAAGAAGGGGAATGATTTCCCAAGGACTTGAAATGATTGGGCTTGTACCTTGCTTTGCTTTTTTATGATTCATAGAGGAGGCCTACAGTTCTGATATCCCCTTGCAACACTGACTTGGATTATCTAACACGAAAACGAACATAAAACACGTCTGTTTAACTTGCAGGCTACAGGTCGGACTGCCTTAATGGAAGCGGCAAGAGAAGGCGTGATAGAGGTTGTGCGTGGCATTCTTGAGAGAGGAGGAGATGTTAACATATTCGACAATGAAAGACACAATGCTGCACATTTCGCTGCCAAAGGAGGCTTTTTTGAGGTATCTTTTTTTATGAGGACTGAAAGTTAACTTCAAAGCAACCGAGCCTGCTTGTTCCAAGCCAAGCAGAAAAATCAATATTCATGAATGCTTTCTATTAAACCATTCAGGGAATTTAGAAATTACAGGTTTTCTCTTTTAAATGTGCCACCGTTTCCTGTAAATACATGGATTTATAAATACATGTAGCTGCCTACATCTTATGCATATGGCTCCACCAGGGCAGAGGTATCTCATGAGGTTGTGTGTCATGGGTGCGTCTCATGATTGAGGTGTTTTTGTTATAATAGAGCACTTGGAATTAATGCTTGTAGATGCTCAATAATGAGGAAATGGCTTCTTTTCTTCCCTCTTGTCTCTCCATGTTCAGGACAGCTGTGGTATGGATTTCCCCCCTGAAATTTCAACAGATGTGGGGGAACTGATCAGCAGTAGCTTCCTCCCCGCAGCATCGTGCCCCAAAATATCTCTACCTTTCTGCTAGAGAGAATCCCAATGATAATGCCCATCCCCTTGGTATCCTGTTGTTTGGCTCTAGGTCGCTCCAGCTAGCTACCACCCTTAATTGCATCTTAAAACACAACAGCTTCAGATAGGTGGGTAGAACTGGGACTGAACATGGACACTCTGGATCTAAAAGCTCAAGTTCCCACTGCCTAAATTAAAGAACCACATAACTACTATGGCAACCTGATAAACTTTTATATGCAGACTGAGCAGTGGAGAACATCAGAGAGCCACACAGTGTGGCTATGGATTACACCGTATTTCAAGGAATGCTGTCAAACAATTACAGAAATTAATGTAATAAATCACAGTTTTAGTCTCACTGTGAAGAACAGAAAGCCAATTTAAATTTACTATGAATCTTGTTGGATGTTTTTCTACATTTTCAAATATATTGATTTCAATTACAGTGCAGAATACAACGTGTGGAGCACTCACTTTGTATTATTCTTTTTTATTACAAATGTTTGCACCGTAAAGATGATGAACAAGTCTACCAGTTGAAGCATGAAGGGGCATGTGAATATGTAACATATTTGGCACGTAAATACTTTGCAACATCAGCTACAACAGTGTCATGCAAACACTTGTTCCCACTTTCAGATGGCACTGTAAATTAGAAGCAGGCAGCATTATCTCCTGTAACTGTAAATAAACTTATTTTTCTGAGTGATTGGCTAAACTAAAAGTAGGCCTAAGTGGAATTATAGGATCTACAGTTTTACATTGTTTTGTTCTCAAGTTGAGTTATGTAAAAACTATACATTTGTAAGTTGCACTTACCCAATAAAGAGATTGCACTTCAGTACTTTGCATGAAATGGATTGAAATATACTGTTTCTTTTATCTTTTTTGTGTGCAAATATTTGTAATAAAAATAATATAAACTGAACACTGTACACTTGGTATTCTGTTTTGTAATTGAAATTAATATATTTGAAAATGTAGAAAAACATCCAAAAGATTTATAATACATTTAAATTGGTATTCTGATTATTGTGTAACAGTGCAATTAAAACTGCAACTGATTGCAATTAATTTTTAATCAAGTTAATCTGTTTTGAATTAATTGCTTGAGTTAATTGCAATTAGTTGACAGCCCTAATTTCAATTATTAATTAAAAAAACCCACAATTCCCAGTATCTTTAGTACAGGGTTTTTAATGGCATTGACTTTGCTCTTCTAGATCCTCAGGATAATCTCAGCTTATAATGGAGATGTGGGGCTTATTGCTATGAATGGGAACACGCCACTTCATTACGCTGCTGCTGGGGGTTTTGCGGATTGCTGCAAATTTATAGGGCAAAGAGGTAAACAAAAATGCATACTTACATAGATCATACAAATCTTTGCTGTCTTCTATGCTCAATACAGGATTTCACTTCTACATAAATGGAGGATTTGATTTTCCAGGACTGTCATAGTGGTGCTTTTATTGAGCACTTAATCCACTCACACAGGGTTGGGCAATAACATGGAAGTGGCTTGTAGGGCTAGTGCATGGAGGTCCGCTGCCATTATATTTACCTGCACAGCCACAGGTACCAGCAATCACAGATCCCATTGGTTGTGGATTGCCATTCCCAGCCAGTGGGAGCAATGGGAAATAGCATGGACCAGTGGGAACTGCTTCCTGCAGCTGCCATTAGGAACAGCGATCTGCGGTCAGTGGAAGCTGCAATCTCCCATATCTGCAGAGGTGCAGGTAAATATGGCAGTGGTGGCCCGCCAAGAGCTAACCCTAGTTGACCAGATCTGGCCCATGGGTCAGTATTTGCCCACCCCTGCACTATCAAATATAGAGTGTCCGAAAAAATTTCTGTCAGTCTGGCTGTAAGCCTGTAGAACAATTCTCCAGGGAGGCAGTGGAATCTCAAAAGGTTTAAATAATTTAAAACTATACTGAGCCAAACATTTAAGCCTACAAAATTGGAAATGACATTCCATTAGCATTGGGGTGGACTTAAGTCTTCCAGAAGTAAGTGTCCACAGTGCTTGTGAAACGTCTGCATTTCAAAAGTCTACATTTCCAAGCAAAATAGTCATTGTAGCACTAAACGCTTCAAGGGCCTGATCCAGAGCCTCTTGTAGTTAATGGAAACACTCCCCTTACTTTCCGATGTGCATTGGATCAAGCCTCAAAGAAGCTATGTCATGCTAACAAAAATCAAATCCAGTGTCACACCTGGAATTTCACTGTTTCCCTATGAAACTCCAAAACCTGTCCATCCTCTGTTGATGAGGTCTGAACATTTTAAGTAATGGCACCACCCACAGCCAAAGTTCAATTCTTGGGTACAGAATGGGGAATTTAAAAATAATATTTCAATCTTAGCTCTGATCTTTATGGCTTCTTTTTTAAGTTTAAATACAAACTTTAATACTTTCAGTGTTGTTTTTGTCTTTAATAACTATCCCACTTTATAGTTAAAAATGCAATTTAATAGTTCTGTCTAAATCCCAGAAATGATAGGCTCTGGTAATAATTGTCTACAGCAGTTTGTTGCAAATCTGTATGAAGACTTAGCTAGTTGCATACACCATCTGGTATTTTTAGTAAAACCATTTCTGTGTTTTAGGTTGCGATCCGAAATGGAAGAACCTGCTCACAAAGACCCCAAGGATGATCGCCAAAGAAGGTGGTTTTAAAGCAGCCTCAAAGGAACTGCGCAAAATTGAACGATTCCATGCTAAAATCTCCAAACCTGGTGCGAAGGATGATGATCCACGCTGGGCGATGAGGTTGCATGACTGGTCCTTAGAACATCAGACAGCCCTTCGCGAGGCATTTGAGATAGTGGACAGGGGTGACGGAACAGTAACCAAAGATGACTTTGCATCCATTATTCAGGAGAAGTGTGATTTTGTAGATGCTGAACAAATACAAACGGTTGCCCAGGCGCATGATAAGTCTCGCGCTGGGGGGGTTAACATTGAAGAGTTTTTTAAAGGTTCCAAATACTTGCAAAAAGCCTATCTCATTTCATCGTTTGGACCCAAAAAGAAGAAAGGCAAGAAAGGAAAAGGCAAGAAAGGCAAGTTCTCCATACCCATGCCTATCTGTGTCCTTCCAGAGAGCTTGTGCCCACGTCGAACAGACGGAGGGCCCCCTATGTACATGATTGAGACCTATCAGAATGTTACCGACAGTAGCCGTTTTAATCGGGATCACCCCCCTGAACATCCTTTGCAGGACGACTCTGCATGGTACATTGATGAGCCCGAGAAAACGTACACCAAAATTATCTATCTTAGTAAAGAAGGAGACATAGTGTCACTGAAGAAAGCCTTTGAAGAGGGGGTACCAGTGGACATTAGAGATGTATATTATAAAACTCCATTGATGGCTGCATGTGGAAGTGGGAATATGGACGCTGTGAAATTCCTTTTAGAGAAGGGGTATGTTTTTCCTTTTTATAAGATTTCTTATTTTTTCATGGGGAGGATTGTTCTTGTTCTTGATTTTGCACAGAGTATATATATTGAGTATATATATTTTGCACAGAGTATATATTGGCCACTGTCGGCAGACAGGATACTGGGCTAGATGGACCTTCGGTCTGACCCAGTATGGCTGTTCTTATGTTCTTATTTGATAGTCACTTAAACCCCCAAAAAAGAAACTTGGAGCTATTCAACTTTCTTTGTAAGCATTTGTGTCGTGTTTATCACTGTGTAAACAAAGCATTGCAAGCACTTATGAATTTAGTTTCATAACACCCCTGAGAGGTAGGGTATTGTTATTGTGATCCCTGCTTAGAAAATAGGGAAACAGAAGGTATGTCTACAATAGCCCCCTAGTTCGAACTAGGGAGGCTAATGTAGGCATTTGAAGTTGCAAATGAAGCCCGGGACTTAAATATCCCGGGTTTTATTTGCATCTTCCTGTCTGGGTGCCATTTTTAAATCCCCTTAGTCCGAACTAACTGCCTGCGGCTACACGCGGCAGTCAAGTGTTAACTCGGACTAAGTCCTTAGTTCGAGTTAACTGTTACACCTCATTCCACCTCATTCCACGAGGTGTAACAGTTAACTTGAACTAAGGACTTAGTCCGAGTTAACACTTGACTGCCGCGTGTAGCCGCAGGCAGTTAGTTCGGACTAAGGGGATTTAAAAATGGCACCCGGATGGGAAGATGCAAATAAAGCCCGGGATATTTAAGTCATAGAATCATAGGACTGGAAGGGACCTCAAGAGGTCATCGAGTCCAGCCCCCCGCCCTCAAGGCAGGATCAAGCTCCGTCTACACCATCCCTGACCGATGTCTATCCAACCTGTTCTTAAATATCTCCAGAGAGGGAGATTCCACCAGGCTTCATTTGCAACTTCGAATGCCTTCTTTAGCCTCCCTAGTTCGAACTAGGGGGCTAATGTAGACATACCCAGAGGTACTTAAAGATGATCTTCAGAAGTGGTAAAGGTAACATTTTCCAAGTGTTTGCTACTTTGGAGAGTCTAAGCAAACACTTTTAGAAGCACTGGGTACCTCACCTATTATCCCCTTGAAGTCAGGAGCTATAGGTACTCAGCACCTCTCAAAAATCAGCCCCAGTGTGTTCCAAAGTGGGCATTCTAAAAATGGAGGCCCTCAAAATTAGTGGATGTTTTTTGAAAATGTTGGCCTAAGGGATTGGCCTTAGATTACATAAGCAGTCTGACAGACCTGGAAATACGTCCCAGTTCTCCTGCTTTTAGAGGCAAAAGGGTGTACGTGACCATTGCATAAAAGCATCACTTTTCTTTTCCAGCCAGAGCAGGCTGACACATCAGGTGCTGAATAGATTCGTGGTAAGGCTGTCATCAGACACAGCTATTTAATTTATTCACCACTTTAAAAGTTCGACAGCAGACTGCAGTCAGCAGACACACTTTGGGGAAATCTTAATGATAAAAGCGAGGGGTTTCATTTTGAAGGATAGTTAACGATTCATTAAAGTAATTTGGAAGAGGTTCCCTTAAGCATTTATCTGAATGACTCTAGGGCAATACCAGAGCATGACAGGGTGTCTGTTCACAGAGCAATCTGGTATGTTTTGATGCAATAATTGCTACACACTCGTGGCGGGTTTTTTCAAAACATTTTTTTTTTAATTTTAAAGGCAATGACATTTACGTTAGCGTTACACTCCCACATATAGCAAGACAGCTCACCGTTTGCCAGGATAAGCACAGTTACTTACAATCTTAGGCTCTTAGGTTGCATCTGACGAAGTGGGTCTTTGCCCATGAAAGCTTATGCTCCTACACTTCAGTTAGTCTATAAGGTGCCACAGGACTCCTCACCACTTTTGCAGATTTAGACTAACACAGCTACCCCTCTGATACTTAATCTTAGGCTCTGTTGTTAGTGGAGCCTTGCAGAGGCTGGTAGGTGCTGTATCCAATGTCAGTGTCACCAACAACTTGCCAGTTCTGCAGAACTCAATATTCATTGGTGCAGGAACTTTGTTAAAAGGGGTGATGCTGAACTCTGTTACCCCTGTCCAACCCTACCCCCAGCTGAGGCTGGGAGCAAAGGCCTCCCATCATACAGGGCTCAAACCATGACCTCAGCACATGGGGTCAACAGCAGAACCCCTGGCATGTGGGCCAACAGCTGGGAACCTGGTGTGTGAGGTGGCAGCAGGACTCTGCGTGTGCGGCCAGCAGCAGGGGAGACAGCCAGCAGCAGGGGAGGCCCCCAGCGTACAGAGCTTGAATTGGGATCCAAGCATGCAAGATCGATAGGAGAGACCCTGTCATGCAGTGCAGCATGGGGATGGCAGCTGGGACACCAGGCACCCCCTGCACCCTTAGTTCTCATGCCCATGCCACTGTGGTTCGTAAAGAAAGACCACAGGTTCAGTTCAGCAGCAAAAGTGCTTGGCTAGGTTCCTTGTCAACAGAAGACAGTACAGGCAGTCCACGGGTTACATGGATCCGACATACATCGGACCCCTACTTACAAACGGGGTGAGGCAACCCCGCACTAGCTGCTTCCCCCCAGCAGACCAGGGAGACGCGAAGCTAGCGCCCCCCCCCCAGCAGACCAGGGAGACGCGGAGCGGCTTTTCTCAGCAGACACCTCAGCTTGAGAATAAAGGACTGAGGGAAGTGAGGTGTGGGAAAATAAAACTGAGCTCTGGAGAAATGTTTGGCTAGAGTTTCCCCTACAATATGTACCAGTTCCGACTTACATACAAATTCAACTTAAGAACAAACCTACAGTCCCTATCTTGTACGTAACCCGGGGACTGCCTGTACTAATGTGTGCCCTGTAGGAGCTACAGGTACGCTAATATATATATGCCCATGACAATGGTACCAGCTCCATCAGGACACCTAAGCCAGCACAAAGATTCCCATCTCATATTGCCTCCAGCTAGCATTGACTCAAGGAAGTGACGTGTTACATTCCACGCACTTGTTATTTTCTTCTACCTTGCACCGGCTAGTTCTAATAAAACCTCTTCATCCATTGTCAGAGGGGCTGTGTCCAGACTCAGGGGTTTTTTCGGGAAAAGTAGCCTTTTCCCGAAAAAACTTCCCCTGCGTCCAGACTCAAGCCGCGTTCTTTCGAAATTATTTCGAAAGAACGCGGCTTTTCTTTCAATGGCGGTAAACCTCTTTTTACGAGGAAGAACGCCTTCTTTCGAAAGTTCCTCTTTCGAAAGAAGGCGTTCTTCAATGTAAATAGGGCTTCCTCGAAAGAGAGCATCCAGACTCGCTGGGTGCTCTCTTTCGAAAAAGCGGATTGCTCTTTCGAAAGATCCGCCTGCAGTCTAGACGCGATCTTTCGAAAGAGGCTCTTTCAAAAGATGCTTTCGAAAGAGCCTCTTTCGAAAGAAGCCTGCAGTCTAGACATAGCCAGGGGGTCTGTCTGCCCCAGAATAACCCCCAGAGAATGCGCTCATGCAATGACTTGAGAACACTGAGTGTTTGTGTACCGTCCTCTCCAGTCAAATATTTAAATCTCTTAATTGGCGTTCACTAATACGTGGTGGATTGAATTTTTGCAAAGGCAAGGCCTTCTCTAGTTCACAGCCTTTGGTCCGTACTGGTAGTTGTTCCTTGAATTCCAGCAAGGCCTGCATTATCTATACCTACAGAGACTTAAACTCATGGAAGTGTACACATTTCAGCAGTCCCACTAATATTAAGGGGACACTTGTAAAGTTACGTACATGTGGAAGTCTTTGCATTCTTGGGGTCAGGTGGTTATGCTCATTGGACCAACTAATTTCCACTAACTTAAAACCTCAGTTGACTTCAGTGGAGTTACAGCCTGGATAAATGTTGCCCCTTATGTGTAATATTTGGACCTCGCAACATGGTAAAGCAGTGTTGTTTTTGGGATTCTAAACTGATAAAACCAGGAAATCCAGAGGAATTGTGCTATAGTAAATGTTAGCTTTGCACCTTTCAGCGAGAGAGAATTTAAGTAGAAAACTTTGCTAAGGGAATCTAACAGGGCTCCTTTTTACAATATGGTCTTTCAACCAACCGTATTGAGTGCAATGCACAGAGTTCCGTGTGTGCTCTAAGGTCAGAGAAAACAGTGCAGTTTAAACATAAATTGACAGTGCGTGCTTTGGTTTACTTGCACAGTTTTGCTTGGAACCGTATCATAAATCAGCTTGATTTAAAAAATACAGCAAGAGAAAATGCTAATGTGCAAGTCCTGTGTAAATCAATGTTATGCCCTTGCCTGGAATATTCTGTTCAGATCTGATTAGTTTGCCCCTAAAATAGAAGCCAGGGTGCAGAGGGGGGAAGAGGGAGGTTCAGGGAGAATAATTGCAGAGATGGAAAATATTCCATATGGTAGGGTTGTGAATCATCTACTCCAGAAAAGAGATGAATAGGAAATAATAGTGCTGTATAAAATAATGAATGGTATGAGGATGATTGAGTGCTATGTTTCACCCTAATACAAAATCAAGCGAGATCCAATGACACCGAAAGCCAACAAATTTAGAACTGGTAAATAAACAACACTCAATTAGCCTGTGGAACTCATTGCCAAGATATCACTGAGAGCGAGACATCGGCAGGATTTTTAAAAGGATTAGATATTTATATAGATTACAAGACCACCCAGGACTATATTGGTAAAGAATTGAAAAGACATTTGGATGGAATGAAAACCCTTGTGTTTTGAGGCATATGTGACCTTCTGGCCAGAGCAGATCAGGAAGAAACTTTCTCTGAAACATCTTCTCTCTGCTGGGTTTCTTGCATCTTCCTATGAAGCATCTGGTATTGGCTCCTGGACTATTGTGCTAATGGTTTCTCTAGTGCAGCAGTTTCTACATTGTACCTCTATGGGACAGTTCCATAGTCAGTGAAGCTGGTGTAGCTGATGTGTGTGCATGCAGTGGGAAGAGCTTATGGCTTGTTCAGAAACAGGAGGCAGCATCTTTCTCCCCTTTGGTAACTGTGAAGGAACATTGGTGATTTTTACTCTCCAGACTTTGCTTTTGGGTCTTCTCTCTGAGTTTCCATCAGCTCCTGGTAACCAGAAAAAGATACTGATGGACCGCCTCCTGTTCTGAGGTCCCCCTGAGGAAAAGATCCCACAATCAGCGGGGTTCTAGTCCTGCATAGATGCTCAAAGATGTCTGCATCCCTGGATCTACTTGCCTTAGACTGACGACATCCTCTCAAATCACTGCATTTGTGTTAATCCAATTCTTTGCGTGTGAATTTTCATTTCCAGAAAGTAATAAAATAAAATAATCAGTGAATAAAATAGAGAGCAAATGCAAAAGATATTAATGGGGAAATACTAAAAAAATTAATTAACCAGAAGGGAATATGGAAGAAGGGAAAAATCAGTATAAGATTTAGAAAGAATGGAGGCATACTGAAGATTGCTATTCAGTTCACAATTTCTGAAACAGCTGTATCAACAATATTGCAGCAATGCTGGTTGTTTCTGTTCTGTAATAATATAAAATATTTATATTCTTTCTGCTAGCCTCTTATGCCCTCTCTCATGTTGCATATTCCACCCTTACTGTGCTGCTATGTGGGCTAAACTAGAAAAACAACACTGAAAACATCCCCTGATTACACCAGTGTGCAGTTTTTAATATCAATCTTTCTATCTTTGAATAATTAAAGAATTGCTCTAAAATACTGACATTTTCTAACCTAAAGCCAAACAGGCATGCCATGCGGGATCATCAGCTTGTATAAATCAACACAGATACTTTTGTTTCAATGGAGCTATGCTGATTTATGCCAGAGATTTGGTGATTCATAATCAGAAAGTCTGTTCAGTGTTAAAAACAAAGATGAGTATTATTTGATTCTACAATATGCATCCATTCAACTATTGTGAAATGTGGATTATAAACCAGTTGGCCACATCCCCTTTAAAATGTAACTACTTCAGAATAAAATCAAGTGCACTGACTTTTTAAAAAACAGAGGGGTAGTTGTGTTAGGACCGCTCACTGCTTTTAAAGTTAAAGACTGTGGCACCTTAGGATGTGTCTAAAATACACCTCTCTGCTGACAGAGGGATGTAGATTAGGTACATCGCTATTGCAAATGAAACGGTTCCTGCACTTCATTTGAATAGAAATGGCCACTGCTTTTTGCTGACGCGGCACTGTGCTCGCAAAAAGCAGCAGTCTAGACGGGGATCGGTCAACAAGGAAAGCCTTTTCCAACCGATCCCTTATGCCTCGTGCAACAAAGTTTACAGAATTGGTCAGAAAAGGCTTTCCTTGTCGACCGATCCCCGTCTAGACTGCCGCTTTTTGCCGCAGTGGCAAGAAGCGGCGGCCATTTCTATTCAAATGAAGCACGGGATATTTAAATCCCCGCTTAATTTGCAATAGCGATAAGCCTAATCTACATCCCTCTGTCAGCAGAGGGGTGTAGTTTAGACACACACAGATACTGTTGACAAAGTTTCTGTTGACAAAGAGCATCTAGACTACATCCAGTTCTGTCGACAAAGCAAGCCGCTTTGCCGACATAACAGTGTAGACACAAAGGACAGTGTAGATGCAATAACGCCTTCTGCAGCAACACGTCCACGAGAAGCACCAGAGTGCCCAGGGGCAGCTCTGGCTCCATGCTGCAGAATGCTGTGGTGTCCCAAGTGAGGGCAACCAGGGCACGCAGAGACAAAAATGCTTTGCTGTCCCTCATCAAGGTAGGCAAGCAAGCAGGGAAAGCTGAGAACCGGCTGTCCAGCGGGGGTCCCTTTAAGCACAGGCCTCAGATATCCTCAGGCAGCAGCCACACAAAGTAACTCCTGACCTGATGCCCTGCCGGACCTGGTTCCGGCCGGCCTTAAATGCGATTCAGCGTCCACTCAGTGTGGACGCGCTATTTCGAAATAGCCAAATGCTATTTTGAAATGCATTTTATGTGTAGATATACCCTTAGGTGCCAGAGGACTGCTCCTTGTTTTTTAAAAAACAGTTGAGAAAAATAACAAGAAAATGAAAAGAAATGATCTGATAATTGTATGAGCTTATCTTTCATGTCTCATTTCACTGTCATTCCTAGTAGTTCTTTGGGTTGTGGGTGCTGTTGCCTTCTGCAGAAGAATGTTCAGTGGGTGAAATGTTTTACTGGGAAGGGAACTGAAATAAGTAACCAGAATCTAAAGATATTACTTGGGAGGGTTCTGCCTCACATCTATGGTGGCCAGTCCCTTAGAACAGTGTTTCTCAACCTTTTTTTATAAAGTACCCATTTAAAAAATTATAAGTACCCCTTATTTAAAAAAATATATATATAAGTACCCACAGTACCTACAGTTTTCAGACACACACGTTTTTTTTCTACCATTGCAACACATTTGTTTAAACAACTTAATTGTAGCCAGGCGGGCGATGAAATTTTGTGTGTAAAAAGTACAAAAATAATAAAGCGCTGTAAAACTTAAAATAAAAATTCAGTTTTCTCCAGATTTCAGTTGTCTTGACGTACCGCCCAGATTTCTCTCGAGTACCCCTAGGGGGACTCGTACCGATGGTTGAGAAACACTGCCTTAGAACTTGTCTCCACTTCAGCACTTATCTCAAGTTAGTGCACTCAAGTAGCTGTACCGGAGCTAACCTATCCCCAGGGAGAGCAACCGCATTGCAGAAGAGCATTGGAGTTACACAGAAAGATTAGATGATCAGGTGATGAGTTATTGCATCTCCCAGCTTTATGAACTCCAGCATAAGCATCACTTAGGTTTAAAGCTACCCTCCAAGTGCAAACACCCTCCAATCTCATCTCCACTTTCTTTTCCATTAGGGGCAAGATCCCCGCTTGCCCTGTATGTGTGACAGGAGTGTGAAGGTGCCTGGACACTGTGGAAAGAGCAACCTTTGTAGGGTCATATGGGAAGGCAGGCATGGACAGGAAGTGGCTATGACTCTGTTTCCTACAGTGAGCCAACACAGAGGAGTCTACTCACTTGTGAAAAGTAAATTCTTCTTAGTGTAGATCAAAGGCAGATTCCTGTCCCCTCGATCACTGCTTCTGGAGCAGCATAACCCCAGGCAATCCTTACGCAGGACAGGTTGTAAAGTGACACACAGCCTGAATCGTTCTGGAAAAAAGAACCTAAGAAGAATGCTGATATTGTGTTAAGGAGGATATAACGTCGCCCTAAGGATTAGACGATCACATCATCTGGTCCGAAAGGAAGTCAGAGCGCACACATGGCAGCACTGTAGAAACAATATGTTTGATCAGTGACATGAATGATTTACAACCCTATTGTTCCTCTCTGCAGGGAAAGCATTCTCCCGGCAAGGTGAGTAGGCACCCTGTAGTGTTCCAAGATGGGACTAGTTATGTCATACAGACACCTCAGATCCATTGAGTTCCATGGTAAGCCACATCAGACACATTCAAACATTGCAAAGCTGTATGAAAGTGAGATGAAAATCCACGAAAAGGCTTATTGCACTGAGAAAATGTTGTGCACCTAATGCATATTGTACAGTGACATTCACCTCTATATACACATAGGCTGTGTCTAGACTGGCAAGTTTTTCCGCAAAATCATCTGCTTTTGCGGAAAAACTTGCCAGCTGTCTACACTGGCCGCTTGAATTTCCGGAAAAGCACTGACGATCTTATGTAAAATCATCAGTGCTTTTCCGGAAAAACTATGCTGCTCCCGTTCGGGCAAAAGTCTTTTTCCAAAAGACTTTTGCGCAAAAGGGCCAGTGTAGACAGCATAGTGCTGTTTTCCGCAAAAAAGCCCCAATCGTGAAAAAGGCGATCGGGGCTTTTTTGCGGAAAACCACGTCTAGATTGGCCACGGACGCTTTTCCGCAAAAAGTGCTTTTGCGGAAAAGCATCCTGCCAATCTAGACGTGCTTTTCCGAAAAGCTTTTAACAGAAAACTTTTCCGTTAAAAGCATTTTCGGAAATTCATGCCAGTGTAGACGTAGACGTAGTGCCTCTTTAATATAGAAGTTCACACTGTATGGGTACACTAATGGCTATTAGCCAAGATGATCAGGGATGCAACCCCATGCTCTGGGTATTCCTAAATCTTTTCACCTCTGATGCTGGATTTAGACGACAAGGGGATGGATCATTCAATAATCGCCTTATTTCACTCAGCCCCTCGGGACTATCTGGCATCAGTCACCATTAGAAGACAAGATACTGGGCTAGGTAAACCATAGGTCTGACCCAGTATGGCTCTTCATATATTCTTATCTATTTATTCATTGGTAGGGCTGATGTAAACGCAACTGACAATTTCAAGTGGACTCCTCTGCACCATGCGTGCCACGCAGGTCAACAGGACATTGCAGAACTGCTGGTGAACTCTGGAGCAGTCATAGATGCAGTGACAATCAACTATGCCACCCCACTGATGAGAGCTATTGAGAGTTGTAGACTGGACTCCGTGCAGTATTTAATCGATTCTGGGGCGAAAGTCCAGATGGAAAACAGAAAAGGTAACTATCTATATCGGGGTGGGCAAAAATTGCTGACGTCGCCCCCAGTAAAAAAATATGCAAGTGGCCCTGGGCCACACCAGAAGGGGCGGGGTCCTAGGCAGAAGGGGTGGGGCCAAGATACTTCCCTGCTTTCCCACCCACAGAAAATGATTGGTCTGGTGGTGGGGGAGTGCATAAAGTCTTTGCCTCCTCAGAGGTTCCCCATAGGTGCCCATGCCCCGGCAGTGGGAGGAGACTTCGTGCATGCCCTCTTCTGCTCCCAGGCAAATCAGGGCTTGAGGGCAGGGAGGAAACACATGAAGTTTCCTCCGCCCTGCCCCTGCCCTGCAACTGCCTGTTCTTGCAAGTATTGCCATTGATGATAGCAAGGCTGCTGGCATGAGTGAGCGCCACTCATGTGTTTAATGGCTCTCAAGCTGGAGCTCTGAGTTCAGTGTCATTATGCAGTTAAAGTTATCAACCCTATTGTTTATTGTCATGGCTGACAGCCCCTGCCAGTGATTCTTATCACAAACCTGGTTTGCTTCTTGTTTTTCTTTTCAACCAGGTCAAAATACTTTGGACATTGCAAAGGCGTATGCTGACTTTAGACTCATTGACCTGCTTCAAGAAAAACTGGACCGTTTGCCAAAGCCACCAGAAGCCAAAGGGGATAAAGAGAAGAAAGGGAAGAAACCTGCCAAGCCTAAACCAGCCGCTAAGCCCAAGCGTGCGGAGGCTGAAGCTGTGAAAGAAGAGGTATGATAGATGACATTGGGTAATGAAATACAGCCAAGGTGGTGATGCGGGTTGCCAACCATTAGTAAAATGCTGGTTTTCTTAGTTTATTTTCCAGATAAACGCTATGAAGTTGATCTACAAAATACTTAAGCAAACCATGCTAGCACTAGAGATAGAAAAGTAGCCGAGGTAGTCTGGTGTAGCTGAAACAAAATACAGGACTATGTAGCACTTTAAAGACTAACAAAATAGTTTATTAGATGATGAACTTTCATGGGCCAGACCCACTTCCTCAGATCAAATAGTGGAAGAAAATAGTCACAGCCATATATACCAAAGGATACAATTAAAATAAAATTGTATCCTTTGGTATATATGGTTGTGACTATTTTCTTCCACTATTTGATCTGAGGAAGTGGGTCTGGCCCATGAAAGTTCATCATCTAATAAACTATTTTGTTAGTCTTTAAAGTGCTACATAGTCCTGTATTTTGTTTCAGGCTAGCACTGAAACAGGTGGCTGGGAGAAAGCATCAAGGCAGAGGATAACAGGAGATCAGTGTTCCATACCAAACTCCTCCACAGACTTCTTTGTATGACCATAGGCACTTCCCCCTCTGGAAAATGTCTGTTCAGATTGGAAAGTCTTTGGGACAGGGACAGTGCCCATCACTCAGGCCTCTGGGCACTATTGTAATAATAAGAGCGTGTGTGGTATCCCCCCCAGACCAATAGCATAAGGAGCATTGCAGCTCCTCAGTAACTTGAGCTTGCTTTTTTGTGTCTCTGGTCCCTGAACTCCTGCCTCATAGTTATCAGTGCCCCATCAGGTGCTGCAGTCCTGTCACACTGGCCTTAAGTAAATCACTTTTGGCCAAAGTAACCCATATTTTTGAGTTTGCAATATCGTTACGTACTATCCCAGGAGATTCAGCATGAGATACGGGTATTACAGATCGGATTCCCAAGTGCAGTATTGGTGGTAATGCAGGTTGGGGTGGGAAAGGATTTAGCTCTTTGGGATCCTGAGGGTGAGAGGGGTGATACCCTGAGCATGAATGCTAGAGATTTATACCAAGCAGAAGTAGTGATGGACGGGCTGTCTGGACCTCACAGCTCTGGAGAATGTTGCAGAATTAGAGCTCAATTGTCAGGCTTTAGCTGCGCTGGTTTGTGATTCCCACAGCTGTTGGTGGTCAGGCCAGAAGTGTTACCGTCTGCCTGACCTCCAAACTAGAATGCTTGAGGGCCGGGGTAAAGAATTCTGTGGGAGTGAGAAGTCACCCATGGGAATGGAGAGTGTTGCAGATAGAAGAAGTCAGATACAGAGTTTATCATTATGATGATGATGATGAGTTTATTATTAATTTGTATTGCTTTAATATCTAGATGCTCCAGTCTTGGGCCTCATTAGGTGAGGTTTTGTAGAGACACCCAACAACAAGATGGTCCCTGACCCAAAGAGATTTCAATCTAAGTATGTTAGGTGTCTTTCCAAAGATCACACCAGAAGTCTGTGTCAGAGCCACAAACCCAGCTCATCAGAGCCAGAACTGTACCCACAACTTCAGCCTTCCCTTTTGCTAAGCTGCACAGTCAGTACCACTGGTCCCCATAAGCTGAACGCTTGGGCGGCCACCCAGGAGAGATTCAAATGCCCCCCACCTGATTAGCAGAGCACCCACTGTACCACAACTGGCAGCATGTGTTTCTATTGGTGGTGCACCTCTGCACATGCCTTGGTGCATGTAATAATATTTATTCTGCACATGGAAAAATTAGAGGAACATTGGTCAGTACCCAGAACCATGCTTGCTGTGTCAATGGATTTGGCCACCGAAAGCGTGCAAAAAAATTAACACTCCTGTTGGCAGGTATCTAAGGGTACATCTAGACTACATGGCTCAGTCGACAAAGCCATGTAGATGAGTTTACTAGATATAGCAAAATGAAGCGGCGAGGTTTACCGGAGCAGTCAACAAAGGCTTCCCTTGTCGACCACGGAGCGTCTAGACTACCACGCTGTGCCGACAATTAGCTGATCAGCACGGCGTGATGGCCATTTTGATGTAAATGAAGCGGCGATTATTTAAATTGCCGCTTCATTTTGCTATGTCTAGTAAACTCATCGACGGAGCCATGTAGTCTAGACATACCCTATATGTATGATTATAGCACTTTTCCCTCATCAAGAGTAGTACTTTGTTTAAAGTCTGTACCTTGCATTGCATAGTTTCTGAATGACTCAACTCATCCATCAGTCAAAATAGCAGATTGGATAAGTATTTTAGTGCAGGATCACCCACTGTCCTGGTTGATGTGTGATATTTCAGGAATTGTGTGTTCTATGGTATCTAAATACAAAGTAGAGAAATGTCCTTTTCCCTTGTGTAATCTTTATTGTCATCACGTATGGTACTGTAGAGACCATGGGCATGTCTTCACTACTTGCTGGATCGATGGCAGCAATCTGTCCAGTGGGGGTCAATTTATCACACCTAGAATTGTATGGACACAATAAATCAACTGGCGAGCACTCTCCCCACAACTCTGGCACTCCACCAAAATGAGACGAGGAAGCAGAGTCAATGGGAGAGTGTCGGCTGTTGACTTTCTGCTGTGAAGATACTGCTGGAAGCAGGCCTAGTCACCTTCAGCTACGTTAGTCGTGTAGCTGAAGTTGCACAACTTAGGCCGATGGCCCGCAGTGGGATAGGCCAGTCCTGAGCTGCAGATGATCATGATTTGTTAAAAGAAGACCTTGTCACATCTACGGCCTGACCTGAAGCTCTTGAAGTCTACGGGAAGACTTCCATTGAGTTAAGTGGGCTTTGGATAAAGCCCCTTGAATTTTTTTTTTTTTTACAGCAGTGAGTCTGCTGTTACTGCATAATCCGCCTTTGCAAAGGTTGAGCTATTTGACTCGTATTTTTCAAACCTTGCATCTGTTCTGGGTGTTCTTTTCCCTTGTGGGGTCTCTGTGTCCCAACCGCAGCCCTGAGTACCTGATCATTTCCCTCTAATTCATGTTCTAACACCAGCTGTTGCAACTTCATCATAGTTATTACGTTTTCAGGCCTGACTTTCCTCTGAGTTTGTTAGCGCTGCTTCTTAATTAGTCCCAGGGGACACTAATTAGAGGCAGTGCAATTATTCCCTCCAGGATTAAAAGCTTTATTTTTCCCCCCCCTCCCCCCCGCCCCCTCCATGACAATCTAAGGGAAATGTGACTCAGACTAGAATCTAAACTCTAGTCAACTCCTTAGTGCAAATGCCCTCTGGGGGTTTTCTTCACAGGCTTGCTAGTTAATATTTGAGGTTCATAGTAGGGATGCGAATGACTAGTCGACACACTAGTTGACTAGTTGCTGCCCCCTCCCCCCCCCCCCCCCCCACCCTGGAGGGAGTGCTTCAAAGCAGCAGCCCAGCTGGCTCCAGGCTACACACAGCATTTCAAAGTGGCAGCACTGCATGGAACCTGGGTCATCTGGGGACTCCTGTGCTGACCCCGGGTTCCATGCAGCACTGCCACTTTGAAATGCTGCAGGGAACATGGGGCCAGCGGGGTGCCTGCTGGCCCCATGCTTCCCACAGCGCTTTCACCTTTGAAGTTAGCAACAGCCCCGGGGCTGTTGCTACACTTCAAAGGCGGAGGCTCCTTTATCGAGCAATCGAATAGTTGATGCAAATTGCATCGACTATTCAATTAGCTAATTAATTGACATTTAACATCCCTAGTTCATAGTAAAAAGCATCAAGCTTTCCAAGCTTGCCAACCAATTCCTTTGCAAATGTTAACGTTTCATCTGTAAATTCCCAAGAACTGCATCCACCCTGCTTGATTCTTAAAATGCTTCCCTGATTTTTATTTCTAATAAATGCTTACAAATTTAAAAAACATTCAATAAAAAAATCCTTTCCAGGATTGAATATGCACTCTCATGTATCTGGCTGGTAAAAAAAAAAAAAAAATCCTACAGCAACTAGTATGTACAGTGTTTGAAAGAGTGACATATTCGTCTTGTGTTTAAACATTTGCAGCCACCTCCACCAGTTGTAGAAAAATCAATTTTTGAAGAAAAGAAAGAATCCCATAAGGACAATGTCGCGCATCTGAATTCTCTGATAACCAGTGGAGCCACTAAGAAAGTTGATATTACATTCACACCAAGAAAAGTAAGTATATTTGCAGAGCCTCAATACTGTAGCATGTTGACGCTGACGTGAATATGGCAAAGGTTAAAGATGGTGGTTAAAGATGTTTGGAAATTTTACTGGGGGACTCTCTGTCCCTGTGTCATCTCTCAGCAAGGGAAGATTTTTGGTTGTGCCAGGTATTGAGGCAGGAAGCAATGCCCACTAATATTTTACTGAATCTGGAAGAGGTTTTATAACTATACAGTCTATTTTTAGGGTGAGCTTTTTAGAAGTGTATAAGAGACACAGAATAGGATTTTCCGAAGCAGATAAGTGAACTAGTTTTCCAATTCCCATTGGAAGTCAATGAAAGTTAGGATGCAATTAATGTAATATCCTGGTGCATTCCAGGGTTTAAATCACAGATCTCTCTCATCTAAGAAAGCAAATATGCAACTAACTAACCATCACTTTATCTCTATGGTATTTATTCTAATTTGAAAAAAAAATGTTGAGAGCATTGTGTAAGTATTATTAGTTAATTAGAACATTCCGACCATACTGAGGCTTAATTGTTACAATTGTATTTACTTGTGTTTTCCAGAGTTGGAGCCCAGAAGCTACAACAGCCAATCTAATAAGAAAGCGGGAATTGCGTCGTGAACGCTTTACTTATGAGGTGGATTTTGATGACTTCATGATGCCATTTAAGAAGAATTTCATGGAAAAAGCCCGTGCATTAGAAATGGCTTTGTAAATTAAGTCACACCTTTCTTTGCATCCGAGTTCAGAAAGGGCTCAAAAGCAGATACTCCTTTGTGAGGACAGAATCATGTTACCCTTATTTAATGCCCCTCAATTATGATAAAATTGTAGCAATTTGTTTTCTTTACTTTGTACCAGGTATGTAGCTTCTCTGCAGTTAAAGGCCGAATCTGATAAGAGGCTGAACAGTACCAAGATTTTAGAAACCTAGAAGGATCAGGTCCTGATTTACCAGCGTATTCAGAGTCTAGTTCCAAAAAACGGTGCATCCTTTTTTATTTATTAACATGGGCAGTGTTGGCAATAGCTTTGTCAACCAAATTCTTGGACACGGGGCAAGGCTCATATAAGGACAAGTGGATTTTTATTTCTCTTTCTCATATTAGATTTTTGGTAAAAATGGCCAGGGTAAATTGCAGATATCCTTAGCCAGTGCTGCAGTTAGGAGGAAAGCAAAGTGGTAGATATCTTCATTCCTATTAGTTAAAATTTGGAAATAGACTAATAATGAGCAGTTCTTGCACTAACTGATGGGTTGATATTTTCAAAGCCCATCGCACACACAGTTTGGGTTCAGGCCCCTGGGGTCTTTTCCATAAACTGAGGCCTAAACTGGCCAGAAACTGAGACTGGATGATGAGGGATGGATCCCTTGAAATTGCCCTTTTGTGAATCATCTGGCCCAGGCCACTGTCCGAGACAGGATACCAGGCTAAATGGGCCATTCTTTTAAAATAATCACCACTACTGGGAGTGTGATTTTGTTCTTGTGGGGCTTGATATAAGGCCTTTTGAAGTCAGTGGATGTTCTATACCCAAGGAATGAAGGCCAGTGAATACTGTCTCTATGTTAGACCAGGTCTACACTACAGGGAAAGGTCGAATTAAGATACACAAATCCAGCTACATTAATTACATAGCCACAGTCGAGTTTGAGTTTCCCCACCATCTCCACAGAGAGAGGCTCATGCCAGCTTCCCATGTCAGGAGCTGGACCCACTAAATCAAACTCCAGAAGATCGACCGTGGCAGCCTCAATCCTCCACATAGTGAAGGCAAGCCCTTAGAAAGAGGTATTAGGCGCTATATTGGGAATTATAGATTAGTGGGCCTTGTTTTAGCACCAGGAAACCTGGCTAAAAACATACTTAAAAACAGAATTGTAAGACTCTCGCTTAGTTGAGGATAAACACACCCAATGTAATGTTATGTGTAATTTAAATGGTACATAATTTTCCACAGTGCGTAAATTAGCAGCGAAACTCTCCACTAATAGACATCTGAAGACAATAACGTAGTAGTATTAACAAGATGTAGATATTTATATGGGTTATGAAATCAGACGAGTAACTTAGTCATGACTTTTTGTATATCAAGGATACAGACCCTTTTGCTTCAGAGCCTAAGCCAATTACTAGCTGAATGTGTTAGGAAGAAAGTTTCCTCGTGGCTAGGTTATTCCGTAATTTTCCATTGCAGAGATGCTGACATTTCTCCCAGGAGTAATATTTCTGAGGCATGATACTAGACTAGAAGAATCATTGGTCTGGCCTGGTGTGACAGTTCTTGTATTTATATTTGGCTGTGTCTACACTGGGCCACTTATTCCGGAAAATCAGCCGCTTTTCCGGAATAAGCTGCAAGCTGTCTACACTGGCCCTTGAATTTCCGAAAAAGCAACGACGCTTTACTGTACAAAATCAGCCACTATTCTGGAAAAGCTACGCTGATCCCACTCGGGCATAAGTCCTTATTCCGGAACACTGTTCCGGAAAAGGGCCAGTGTAGACAGCCCAGTAGTCTTTTCCGGAAAAAAGCCCCAATCACGAAAATGACGATCGGGGCTCTTTTCCGGAAAAGCGCGTCTACATTGGCCAAAGACGCTTTTCCGGAAAAAGGGCTTTTCTGGAAAAGCAACCTGCCAATGTAGACGCTCCTTTTCCGGAAAAACTGAAAACGGAATAGTATTCTGTTTTAAGCAGTTCCGGAAATTCATGCCAGTGTAGACACAGCCTTTGTGTCTACTAGAGACAGTTCAGTTTGCAAGAGTGAAAGTTTGTTATTTTTCTGTCAGTCCTGCCAGTTCTCCATGGAATCTGAGAATCAAGCTGGGTTCTTTGTTGCATGTGCATCATCCCCAGTAATAAAGATTCTGCAGATCAAATTCTGCCCCCAGTGACACCTGTGCAAGCACATTGCCCTTGATGGGTGTGTGTATCTATGTACAGGATAGCGTGGAATTCTGGGGCACCTCTGCCTGAGCAAAGACTGCCAGATGGAGACCTTACTAGTGGCGTGTCTATACATTTTTCTGCACAGGCCACTTACTGGCCTAATTACCCAAATGAGCCACATCCTTTTCACTCTTGTTGCATATAGAATGATGGGTGTACTAGTCACTAGTGTGCAAACTTGAAGCAAATGACTTAGACATCATTTGTTATGAAAATCATGGAATCATAGGACTGGAAAGGACGTCTTGAGGTTCGCAAGTCTAGTGCCTTGCACTCATAGCAGGACCAAGCACCATCTAGACCATCTCTGACAGGTGTTTCTTTAACCTTCTCTTAAAAACCTCCAATGGTGGAGATTCCACAACTTCCCTCAACAATTTATTCCCATGCTTGATCACCCTAACAGGAATTTTTTCCTAATGTCCAACCCAAACCTCCCTTGCTGCAATTTAAGTCCATTGCTTCTTGTCCCATCCTCTGAGGGGAATGAGAATAATTTTTCACCCTCCTCCTTGTAACCAGTGCTTGAAGGCAGAGGACTGGACTTAATGACCTCTCGAGGTCCCTTCCGGTTCTCTGATTCTGTGATCTTGTGATTCTGTAACACCTTTTTAGGTACTTCAAAACTATTATACTCCTAGTCTTCCCTTTTCCAGACTAAGCAAATCCAGTCCATTCAGTCTTCCCTCATAGGTCATGTTTTTCTAGCCCTTTAATCATTTTTGTTGCTCTTCTCTGGACTTTCTCCAATTTGTCCACATCTTTCAAAAAATGTGCCCAGAAATGGACACAATACTCCATTTATGGCCTAACCAGTGTGGAATAGAGTGGAAGAATTACTACTCATGTCTTGCTCACAGCACTCCTGCTAATACATCCCAGAATGACATTTGCTCTTTTTGCAACAGTGTCACACTGTTGACTCATGTTTAATTTTGATCTGCTATGACCTCTGGATCTTTTTCCACAACACTCCATCCTAGATGGTCATTTCCCATTGTGTATGTATGCAGCTGATTGTCCTTCCCAAATAGAGCACTTTGCATTTGTCCTTACTGAATTTCATCCTGTTTACTTTAGACCTTTTCTCCAGCAACTGCAACCCCTCCCAATCATTTTTACTGAGCTGTGTGCTTGACATTCGAAAATTTGAGGAGCATGTTCCCAGCTAGTGTAAATGCATATAGTTCCATTGACTTTACCTCAGCAGAATATCTTGCCCTTGTGCTTCTTTTCTTTTGAACACACCCAATGAAATATTATATGTGCAATTTAAAATGACCGTACTTAACATGTAATTATTTAGAATAGACTTGATATCTTATCCCAGATGAAAATTCTCAGGGCAGGTGCTTAGCTTGGAAGAATGCCTCTGTGCAAATGGTAATGTAGTTGGTATATTTTAGAGTCATGGAGGCCTTTCAAGAGAAATAAGATTTCAGTGGTAATCCGGGTATTCTTAACACGGACATGGTATCTTTTGCTGTCAGTGTGAAACTTCTATTTGTACCCAGATAGCTCAAAATAAAGAAATGATTGGATTAAAACTATTCAATGCAAAGGAGGAAGAGTTTGAAGACAATAAATGGTCAAGAAGAAAGCTATCTCTACACACACAGAAAATGCATCAAGATTGGTTTCATAAATTGTACACACCAGAACAAAGCAGCCTGGATGGATAGAAACGAGGGCGGGAGTCATAAGTCATTTATTTCATACGGTAAATAACACTATTCAGGACACAGGCATCTCATGGGAAATAGCTCGGAGACTTTTCTCAAACTTTGCTGTCAGCTACTCATTAATACTGTAATAAGCAGCCTATCCTTAGGTAATTATTGCTATGATTAACTAAGGACAGTGTCCTCCTTGGCTTACTCAGATGAGTAGCTCCTGTGGAAGAGAGTAGAACTGTGTTTGAATGAAGTAGAAGAGTTTAACCTAAGCAGTGTGCAATGCTATTTTGCCCATTCTCATAGACTCCTAGACCTGGAAGGAACCTCAAGAGGTCATCAAGTCCATCACTTGGCCTCATGGCAGGACCAAGCACCATCTTGATCATCCCTGACAGGTGTCTATCTAGCCTGCTCTGAAATATCTCCAGTGATGGAGATTCCACAACCTCCCTAGGCAATGTATTCCAGGGTTTAACCACCCTGACAATTAAGAAGTTTTTCCTAAAATCCAACCTCAATCTCCCTTCCTGCAGTTTAAGCCCCTTGCTTCTTGTCCTAGTCTCGGAAACCAAGAAGAACATTTTTTCTCCCTCCTCCTTGTAACACCCCTTTTAGATACTTGAAAACTGCTATCATGGCCTCAATCAGTCTTCTCTTTTCTAAACTAAACAAGCCCAGCTCTTTCAGTCTTCCCTCAGAGCTTTCATGTTTTCTAGACCTTTAATCATTTGGGTTGCTCTTCTCTGGACCTTCTCCAAGTTCTCCACATCTTTCTTGAAATGTGATGTCCAGAACTGGACACAGTACTCCAGCTGTGATCTAATCAGCGCAGAATAGAGGGGAAGAATGACGTCTCATGTCTTGCTCACAGCGCCCCTGTTAATGCAACTCAGAATCATATTTGCCTTTTTGTCAACAGTGTGACATTGTTGATGCATATTTAGCTTGTGCAGTACTTTCTGCAGTACTCCCCTTTCTTCAGTACTCCTTCCTAGACAGTCACTTCCCATTCTGGATGTATGAGATTCCAGGCTCCTTCTCATTATTTTGGTTGTGTCGTGTGAGGCTTGATTTGTGACCGGCCTTTGAAAGGATGTGCTGGGTCTGATTGACCCTTCTGTGCACACGGACAAAAGAGGGGGAAGGGAACGTATAGGACCTCACCTGCTTCTTATGCAGTGCCCAAAAGTGGGAAAGGAAGGGGGTTAAGGAGGAGGTGACTCTGTAGCTAAGCCCTGTACAATGTGCCGGATACGATGGGAGAAGCAGTTTGTGCTCTGCTAGCCTGGACAGTCCCTCTGCATGGCAGGCTGCTCAGAGGAAGAATCATCCAGGGAACTCTTCCATGCCTCTCAACAGGTGCCTGTGTATTTATGGCACCATTTGACCCATTGTGTTCTATAGTGGGGATAAGATAAAAAACTCCCTGAAAAGTAAATGTTGAAAGTTAACATCTTTTTTTGGGGAGGGGGGGGAATAATAATTCTTAATTATCGAGAGAAATATTCTTTTTGGTACTGAGGCGCAATTCGGAGGCAACACTAGTTTTTTAAAGACCTGTTTTGGTTAATTTGGAATCTAACCCTACAATCCTTGCTCACGTGACTAATGGGTACCCTGTGAGCATGCAGAACCAAGTGTTTTGGTGGCATAATGAAATTTTTTCTTCTTTCTGTACCAGGGATTTTTAAGAAATCAACAGTCTACACAGCAGCTAACATTTTTATATGGAGACATAATTTCTAGTTGATACAGCATTTGGAGTAAGCCAGTCTTGGGATTGTTACACTTAGGCTGTGTCCAGACTCAGGGGTTTTTTCGGGAAAAGTAGCCTTTTTCCGAAAAAACTTCCCCTGCGTCCAGACTCAAGCCGCGTTCTTTCGAAATTAAATCGAAAGAACGCGGCTTTTCTTTCGATGGCGGTAAACCTCATTTCACGAGGAAGAACGCCTTCTTTCGAAAGTTCCTCTTTCGAAAGAAGGCGTTCTTCAATGTAAATAGGGCTTCTTCGAAAGAGAGCATCCAGACTCACTGGATGCTTTCTTTCGAAAAAGCAAGCCGCTTTTTCGAAAGTTCAACGTGCAATCTAGACGCTCTCTTTCAAAAGAGGCTCTTTCGAAAGTATCTTTCGAAAGAGCCTCTTTCGAAAGAGGCTTGCAGTCTAGACATAGCCTTAGACTTGAAGGCATTGAGTATTTTACCTTATGCCTCAAAACACTTCTCAGGTGTCTCTCAAACCAACAGACCTCATTGTACCAAGTCATGCGGAATGGATTCCATTTCCATTTGGATGCTAATGGAACTACTCACATGAGTAAAGGGTTAGCACGTGCATAAGAGTTTACAGGATTGGGGCCTTAGACTCCAAGGCTGTGTCTAGTAAAATCAGCCGCATTTCCGGAAGAACTTGCCAGCTGTCTACACTGGCCGCTTGAATTTCCTGTAAGAAATCAGTGCTTTTTGCGGAAATACTATGCTGCTCCCGTTCGGGCAAAAGTCCCTTTTGCGCAAAACTTTTGCGGAAAAGGGCCAGTGTAGACAGCTGAGATTTGTTTTGCGCAAAAAAGCCCCAATCACGAAAATGGCGATCGGGTCTTTTTTGCCTAAAAGTGCATTTAGATTGGCCACGGGACGTTTTTCCGCAAAAAGTGCTTTTGCGGAAAAGCGTCCGTGCCAATCTAGACGCTCTTTTCTGAAAATGCTTTTAACAGAAAACTTTTCCGTTAAAAGC